TATATATTAACATCCACGGGTAATTTGAAACCATTGTATTGTATAGAATATTTATTACATTCGTTTAGAAACGTATTACATTTTCTGGTGAAAAGCAATAAAATACTTACAAAGGAAAAGAAACTAAACAGAAAGAGGAAAACATAAATTAAATTAGAATAAAAATTGATTAAATTGATAATTAACCCATTTGTAATCGGCTTCGCTCGGTAAAAACTGACTAAATAGAAATGATTAGCGACAACAGTATTTGTTTGACGCTTGTGAACATAATTACGGTCGTCATAAATGTTGTTGTATCCTCGGGGGCGGACATCCGGGCATTTTCACCTCCTTGGCAACCCGCGGCGGTGAAAACAAAGGCCCAAAACTCGCAGAAAACGATACTTTGGGATGATTGTTGAGACTCTTCTGAACAGTGTAACAAGATTAGCCCTACGTGTGTAACATATATAAATTTGGTTGTTCGGGATTACTTCAAAGTTGAGTTTGTGTTGTTTTCTCGAATTTTCACCGACTCGACCGTCGTTCCACAGCAGCGCGTACAGAGCCCATAGAAATGCATGTACAGTGGTGCGCGTCGTAGCAACGTGGAACGTCTTGTGACGTAGCTCCGCCCCCGAGGATTGTCTAGATATCTGAAGTATACCGACCTTTCTCACACGGCGCTTGTCAATCTGCTTAGTGAATTTTGATGAATTGTATTTTGTCTTTGGTTTTTCTGTTTCAGTTGTATGATATATTCTGTGATCAATACTATTTTGGAAATAAGTCTGTCTATTTACATATGACGTTTATCTAAGAGACGCCACGTGACTTAATTTATTTATTTTATTTGGCGTTCATTCTTGTTCAACTGCTGTTACGTTTGAAACGTTGGAGTTTCAAATCAAGTCAAAAATAAAATCAAACCTCGCTTAATATCCGCCACGACCGTGGATTGATTTTTCTTCGTATTTTCTTTTGTAACATTTTATAGGATATCAATAGGAATACATTTATACTAATTTTTAATATTTGTTTAGTTTATTTGCCCAGAATGGATTTTTTGAAACGATATACATGTATATGTAAAACTACTAATTTGTATTTAAAATCTGACCAGACCCCAACTAACTCAGCTAGCTACATGTATACGTCGAAGTACCCCGTTGCCAGGGAAACAGATTACGAGCAAAATCAACCCGGAAGTAACATGCGCCCTCAAGCGACGTGTTGTGTGTGTTGACACGGAGAACGTTTACTGTAACTGAGGTCGTGATCAATGTAGGGCTGCAATTTAATTATCTTGTTATTATTAATGTCAACTTATTATTATACATCGCCCACCATCGAGTGTTATATGCGCGCTACCCATAAGCAGGGATCACTAGCTATGAATTTTTAATGAGCGATCGACAACCAAGCAACTGAGGCAACACCAATTTGAGTAGAAGCAATATGGCGGCGAGAAATTGAAGTTATTTTTAACAGGTGTAACATATATAACGCTACAACTACTGTGATGGGCCTCGGCGGGGGTTAATGGCTGTACCCGTCACTAGCATCACCTGTCCGACATGCGGAACGCACAGTGCACCGATATCAGCACACCGGCGGCATTTGCCGATGTGTCCAAATTGTAGGGGAGAAATGTCAACAACATCGACTACTTCAGTGCCAGTAACGAGAACGAGAAGAAATAGGTTGACTGCATCAGCCGGCGCCACGGCAACGCCAAGCACTAGCAGGGACCACTTGCCACCGTTAGATGGCAATACCAGTAAAAATGTAAGTTGTAAACAAAATATTTTACGTGTAATTGTGATTACAATTAATAGGTCCTTATTAATTAGGCATATCACCACATGTATGTAGGTTATATTTTTGCCTCCATGATATTGCATCAATAATTTTAAACATTTCTATAGTGAGAGACGACTAAACTAACAACTAAATGCATACCTGTAATATTTGTATTACTAGTATGTTCTACAAGTTTGTTGTGTTAATATAAAGGGCAATTAATGTGTTCATCATCACATTCATTTTCAAGAACAATTGGAAAAATAACATTTGTTATGATTGGTTTGTTTTGGTTTTTGTTTGTTTTTGTTTTTTCACTTCACTTCATTCACACAGTACATCGCAGAAAATTATAAAATTAAATTATGAAAAAGAAAATACATGTAACAATTACATATACAATACAATAATACTTTATTATCACCGTAAAGAAATTACAATCTTTTTTGGGCTCTGAATAATAAAGTTAAATTAAGAAACATGAACACAAATTAATTATAGTATCAAAAGACAAAGAAAGTTACTAAATGGAAAAACATAATATAATATATATTATTATTTTATACATTTGGCCTTTTTAAATAAAAAATATCTTTTCGCTGGTGAAAGTGCTCTGTCAGCCCTATGTAGTAGTTTTAACCATGGTGACTAATACTGCATTGTTTTTATTATATTAGCCACTTACTTAGCAAATGGAAAAGGGGGAGATTATGAAAGATCACAATATTTGTCAGTGCCATCTTCAAAATTGATATGCCCTGTGCTGAATCCGGAATTATATTTCACTTGTAAACAAGAACAAATAATTGAAGCAGCAAAATGTCTACAATCTTTAGATTTAATGGGGGAGGAGGGGAGGGGGGGGTTATATGAAACTAATTGAGGAGCCCCTTGTCTCTGTTCCCGCTGTAACATACAATTTATAATAAGCAATATGTATAATGTTTAATTAACCTGTCGGTGTTGACTTGTTGAATGATTCAGTTCAGATTCTCAGAATAATACTTACTTTTTCCGTGCATAGCCATTGTTGGTGAAAACAACATTATTTAGAGTCAAAATATTATATGGTACTTATTATTGTGTGATGATCCAGTTTTAAAAATTGTTAATATATTTTTGACTACATGAGTCTTAATACTATAGGTGAAATTCATAAACTGCTTGACTCAAAAACTGGTAGTAAATCTCATAAATTCAGCCAATAGATGAACATGTAGTCTACTGTAAAATACTTTATTTTAGCTGGAATTAATTTTCGCTGAAAAGACTTTCTTAGTGTTTAGTGTGGAATTTATCTTCACCGATTTTTGACGAAAATGTAAAATATAGGAAAGAAATTACTTTCCATGGATTATATTTTCACTGAATCATTCCTTCAGCGAACATAGCAAAAATTAGTTCCAAGCGAAAATAAAGTATTTTACAGTAAATATTTGGTATTTCACTGCAAGTATTCACAATTCTCATACTGACAGATGACAGCAACATTTTTTTATAGAATTTACTTGAACCCATCTGGGAATTATTTGCATTAATTATGCCATATTTCACCCCAGCATATTGGTATCTATTTCTCTATTATTTCTGTTAATTTTCATCCAGATGTAAATAATTTCTCATTGACTACAGGTAGTATCCAAAAGTTTGAAAGAAAAAAAAACAACTTATGCAGGTATATTTTGTAAAATGTTTTACTTTCATAGTTCATTATATTTAATTTCATTTTGCAGGCTTCCAAATTCATAAGTAAATTATTCTAACATAAAAATGAAAAATGTCATTTAAAAATTACTGTAATTTTTTTTGTCCCTTCAATATATATGCTAGACAGACAGCCTAATTTGGTGCTTTGTCATTTGTTTTTCTAAAGAGGTAATGGAAATGTATGTAACCTTTTGATGTAGGTAAATCTGCTTCCCACTCAAAAACCTTTGTGGAAAACGTTAATGTTTCACTTTCTAATTACACATTATTCCATTATTAGAGTTTTGGATTGCATTCATAGTATGTAGTAACCAAATAAGACAGAGCAGCACCATGACAATATTTATGTTTTTAAGTTTCTGTCCTGTATGTCAGGGTTCTATATTTATGGTGGCCATGACGGGGATTAATTGCTTAGCTGTCCCACCTAAATATCCTGATTTTCATAAAAATATATCAATATATCCTTCACAGTTTCATTAAGTTTCAGGCATCTTTTGAAATGTCAGCCTTGAAATTGGGCATAGTTTATTTAGTATCAGTGATAAAATGGAAATATTTTTCATGTTACAGATTTATTTACCTGTTTTTCAGTGATTTTATTAGATTCTTCAGAAATTTACATTTGTGGGGTTCTGGATGGGATTTGTGATCTAGGGTGATTTTCTATTAAAGCTCTATAGTCAATGTGTATTTGACATCTCACGCAATGTAAGACACATAAATACTTATTTTTTTTTTTAAACATTGCATGTGTGCAAAATGCTCCCACAAGGGAGGGTATGTTATACAAATGCTGGCTTTAATTCTGATAAGATTTTTGTTTGCATATCAATTAGCCAATTTGCATACTGATTTTGACAGTTTTTGCCTAATATATTTGAAAACATAACAATATGGTACATAGGACTTCTTGTTTAAGAATAGTTTATAATGGCCTATGTATATTAAATAGCTAATTTGTATATTAAATATCTAATTTGCATACTAATTAACTTTTTAGTTTCTTTATTCCCGTTAGTTTACATAGTTACTCGTAATACGTGTCCATCATTTCATTTATGAATACATTGTGTACTACAGTATATTCACTCTTATTGAAGTAGCTACATGCATTCATGTGATTACCCCGTCAATATTGTTTATGAAAAAGGTGACAGTTTTTATATCAGTACTCCATGGAAATAGCTGGAATAAGCTCCAGACTTACATAATACATGTTTTCATTAGAAATGTTCTTCTAATAACAGAAACATGATACATAAAAATATGAATTTGTAAAATATTAATAATTAATTTTTGAAAATGGTTTGCTTTGTGTTTTACATCACTAGACAGTTTCTATTACATTTTCTATACATATTTCAATACTTTCATTCTCCACAATAAACACCATTGTAGTATGAGGTTGTCAGGAAGTAATTCATCTGCGACTGTTTCTACCCCAACTGGAACTCCGCTCAGTTAGTTCTAGTCTGACATTTATTACAATAGGGTCAGTTCATTCAGGTGAATTACTCAATAACAATTTTTTTCAACAGTTTTATTTTTGTTCAATTCATTAGTCCAAATTTTATTTCTATACATTCATGTTCTAGAAATTAATTAATCAAATAATTTAAAACATAGTTTTATATTCTGCCTGGTCAATTTATATCATACTTCACATTAATGAGTTTGCGTCTGTTGCTTTAAATAGGCTTTTTCAGGAAGTGAGTGTTTTTTCCAGAAATTTGTTTAGTTTACATAATACAAGATGCTAGGAATTTCCACAGTTTGATGATTTTATGGTATTCGTAACATTTTTGGGACTACTTTATTGCATGCGTCAGAATACATAATTTTGTAATGGTGTTATATGTCACCTGATCACCCGAGTGTATTGATATGTAAAAAGTAAAACTGAAAATGGCGGAATAAACAAGAAGTTAAACTTGAAAGCTCTCTGGGTTTTTTTTTGATGTTTTGTGTGTTCTTGTGTCAACACATCACAGTATTCATGAAAACTAAATTTTGAAAAAGTCATTGATGCTTCACTTCGTAAGACCCCAGAAAAGTTTTACTGCTGCAAAAGTGTTATTGTCTCATGAAATTTCCCAAAAAATGTGTCATGCAAAATCAAAGTGGTTTACAGTAATAGTTTGTTACTGCATGCACAGTGTGTATATTTTTTTGATAATTACCTGCACCAATATCAGTCTAACATTCACCAAATATTTTTATTAACTTCAATTGTCATTGATCATCAGCCCAGTTGTTCTTACCATAGTATGTTTTATTTATTTGCTCATAGCTAGGAAACAAAGGCTTATGAAGTGGAGCCGAGACGCGACTATCTAGCCGATAGTGTTGTGAATGTCCTGTGCAGTTTACAGATCATTTCTTTGACTGAAAATGTTTAAAAACAATGTTTTTTTTCAATAGTCAGAATAGTCAAAAAATCACAAATTGTAAATTATGAAATTATGCACTACTAGCTGTATTCCCTTATATCTAAACTTTCAGATGATGTATAGATTGTTATAAATGTAGTAGTATGCGTTTAGAGAATGTCTGAATTACAGATGTTTTAACATGTTTTACTTCTGTTGCTACCTTAATGATATGCATACCATATTTGTTCTATTGAAAGCTCAGCTCCAATATAAGCACATTTAAGCCAAAAATTGCATTTGTGGTATACTAAATCTTTTAATACTTACTTATTTTGAACATAAAACACCTCAATCTGTAAATTACGTAAGTGAATGCATTACTAATAGAGCAAATACTGAATGGGCGAATTACAGTAAATTTGTGAGGATTCAATTCCAAATTCTTGACTGTAGTATTGCAATGTAATCTTTGTGAATCAACATACATGGACAACTGAGGAATCCTTGCGTATTTTGTGCATAACAAATATTTCTCATTGATACCCAAAACACAATCAAACTTTATGAATAATCTCCGAGAGCAAATTTAATCTCCTCTATTTAAATAGAATCACACAAGGCATTGTCAGCATCTGTTTTTTTTGTGTGTTTTTTTATTTTTGGCAAAATAATTTTGAGGATGAAAGAAAAGTATGATTTTTGTAGCACTTGAAAATGAGGAAAAAAAACAAACTTGTGTCATCATACTGCTGCTCTGAACATTATGCTGTTTGTGATTAAAGTGAATTTGGTTGCTGTTATTATTTTTGATCAATTCTCTGTTATGTTACATGGTGGCCATGGTTACCATTATTGTTGTCACCTTCGTTAAAGCGGAGGGCTTGTCACCTGTGCACAAGCGGG